GTCAAGAGGGAGGAATTGGGAACACTCTATTAAAAGGTACCTGTATTAACCGTGAAGTGGTATAGTGTTATTTCAAAGTGTACTTAGATTACTTATAAACAAATATTGCAAACTCTAGGGCAACCACACAAAATTTTTTTTTAAGTATAATTGATATGCTACAAGAGGATAATAACAGAACATTGTTGATATAGTGCTGGAATATGAGCCCTTCAGGTTGGAAGGCACTCAAAATATGACTGGGAAGACCTGCCTCCTCAGAATAAAGTCAACCTTAATGACGCAGATGGAGTAAAACCTTCTGGACCTTCATTTGCTGATATGGCATGACTCAAAATGAGAAGAAACAGCTGTAAACATTCGTGAATAACAGGAACACGGAATGTACAAAGGAGGAATCAAGGAAAATCAGAAGTTGTCAAAAATGAAATGGAACACTTGAAGGTTGATATCCCAGGCATTAGTGAGCTAAAATGGACTGGTACTGGCCATTTCGAATCAGACAATCATATGGTCTATAATGCCAGGAACAATAAATTGAAGAGGAACAGCACTGTATTCATCATCAAAAAGAACATTTCAAGATCTATCCTAAAGTACAATGCTATCAGTGACAGGTTAATATCCACATGCCTACAAGAAAGACCAGTTAATAACAACTATTATTCAAATTTATGCACCAGTCACACAAATGCCAAAGATGAAAAAATTGAAGATTTTTACAAACTGCCACAGTCTGAAATTAATCAAATGTGCCAACATGATGCATTAATAATAACTGGTGATTGGAATGTGAAAATTGGAAACAACAAAGAAGGCCTTGGTGATAGGAATGATGCTGGAGATCACATGACAGAATTCAGCAAGACTAATCACATATTTATCGGAAACACATTTGTTTCAACAACACAAACAGCAACTATATACTTGGACTTCGCCAGAGGGTTTACGCAGCCATCAAATCACCTACCTCTGTGGAAAAAGACAGTGGAGAAGCTCAATATTATCAGTCAAGACAAAGCCAGTGGCTGACAGCAGAACAGACCACCAATTGCTCATATGCAAGTTCAAGTTAAAGCTGAAGAAAATCAAAGCAAGTCCAAGAGAGCAAAATATGACCTTGAATACATTCCACCTGAATTAAGAGACCATCTCAAGACTAGATTTGATGCACTGAACACAAATGACCAAAGACAAGAAGAATTGTGGGATGACATCATACATAAAGAAAGAAACAGGTCATTAGAAAGAAAAGACCAAAATGGATGTCAAAAGAGACTGAAACTTCCTCTCGAGGGCAGAGTAGCTAAAACAAACAGAAGAAATATGAAGTAAAAGAGTTAAACAGATGATTTCAAAGGGTGGCTTGAGAAGACAAGGTAAAGTTTTATAATGAAATATGCAAAGACCTGGAGTTAGAAAACCAAAAGGGAAGAACATGATTGCCATTTCTCAAGCTGAAAGAACTGAAGAGAAAATTCAAGACTCGAGTTGCAATACTGAAGGATTCTACGGGCAAAAAAATTAATGAGGCAGAAAGCATCAAAAAAAGATAGAAGGAAAACACAAAGTCATTATACCAAAAAGAACTGGTCGACATTCAACCATTTCAGGAGGTAGCATAAGATCAAGAACCACTGATACTGAAGACAGAAGTACAAGCTGCACTAAAGGCAATGGTAAAACGCAAGGCTCCAGGAGGCGATGGAATACCAACTGAGACACTTCAACAAACAGATGCAATACTGGAAGTGCTCACTCATCTGTTAAGAAATTTGGAAGACAGCTGTCTGACCAACAGATTAGAGGAGATCCATATTCACACCCATTTCAAAGGCGATCAAATACAATACAGAAGTTATTGAAAAGTGTCATTAATATCACATGCTAGCAAAATACCTATTATCTTTTCGCTATCTTCTGGTATGCAAGATCTCAGAAAATTAACTTCTCACATATCCTTTCTCAGGAAGCCACTAAAAGATGAACTCCACAAGAGGGAGTAAACCAAGAAAGACAATGAAATGAGAGTCGCAAAAGAAGATCCTACCCAAGAGACAAGCAAAGAAGTCCCTGAGCTGATGGTGAAAGGATCTCAAAATGCCACCCAGGCAGCAGGCCTAACAAGCACCAACAGTCAGACTGACATATGTCAGAAGCCCAAGGAGGGACGTCTCTGTTGTTATTAGATGCCATCGAGCCATTTTCTACTCACAGAGACCCTATTTGACAGAGTAGAGCTGCCCCATAGGGTTTTCTTGGCTGTAATCTTTACAGAAGCAGATTACCAGGTCTTTCTCCCTTGGAGCCACTGGGTGGGTTTGAACCACCAACCTTTTGATTGGCAGCTGAGCACTTACCCATCTGTGCCACCAGGGCTTCTAGGAGGTCTCTAAGATTGATAGAGTGCCTGCTATGCTGATTGCATTATGAAAGAGAAAGGAGTCTTAGTAAGCAATATGGATCAGCTCTGAGTATCATTTTCCATAGGCACAATATTGTGCTATAGCACAAAATAGTAATTTTTAATCTAACAAACACTGGGATAATTGTATTGAGAAACTGTGGGGATAGAAAATGTACATGGGTTAGGAGAGAATTAAAGTTAATAGATAATGCTAAAAAACAGAAAAGAAATCAAGAAGTGTCGATAAAAGCCATGTTATATGGAGATGCAGAAATAAATATCAAAGGAAACAGCCAGAAGAATTGGAAGTGGTTACTTAAGGAACAGACAATGGGTATGTGTGGGTATGTGTGCATGTAGGGGGTGGACGGGAAGCTGTCACACTTTTGTAATAAATCATATAGCACAATATGATTCTATGAACATATATGGCTTCAGTAACAATAAGAACCAAATTTTTGTGTTTTACAGAAACTCAAGAGTGTTCATCATTCTAGTATATAAAGCCATCCACTTAAAAACAAGTATCTGCAGTCCTGCCCAACAGAGAAATCCGCAGGGACTCTAACAGGCAGAGGCAAAGCACAAGCTCCTGAGCTTATGAGTCCTAGAAGCAGAAGATATACTGTTTCTTCTCCCTGATGCCTAAGCCAGTTGTTGTTAGGTGCTGTCAAGTCGGCTCCAACTCATGGTGACCCTGTGTACAACAGAACAAAATGATGCCTGTTCCTGCGCCATCCACACGATCATTGCTATGTTTGAGCCCTGTGTTGCAGCAACTGTGTCAATCCATCTTGCTGAGTGACTATCAAAGAAATAACTGACCCTAGCCACTGGGAGGATTCAATATGGCTAAGGAAACCCAAATAACCACGATCTCAGAGTATACCTGACCAGGTAAACACAGGCACCAACTATACTACCTGGACCAAACCAAACCCACTGCCATCGCGAGTTGATTCCAACTCATAGCTACCCTATAGGACAGAGTAGAACTGCCCCACAGGGTTTCCAAGGAGCTGCTGGTGGATTCCAACTGCCAACCTTTTGGTTAGTAGCTGAGTTCTTAACCACTGAGCAGCCAGGGCTCCAACTATACTACAGTGCTGTCTAAAAACTGTACTTATATATGCATTCAAATATTTGACAGGTCCTTCACAAACAATGAAAGGGAAGACAGCGGAGGAGAGAAAAACCCATTTAGCCTGACGAAGTACATCTCATAATTTAGCTAGCAGATCGGTGCCCACAAGAATTATTTGGAAGGCATGTTCCCCTACCCCTCCACCTTCCGTTATTTGAATTTCTAGCAATTGATCACTGAAGCATGAGGAATTTGTGGGTATTCACAAGCAACATATGATAATGGAAGGCACCACTGCCACAGATAATAAATTGAGAAGAGCTGAAGACAGTATAATCAAGAGCAAAGTAGCCTGGCTCATAATCTAAATTTCCTCTCCTCCTCACCTCTCAGAATGGCCAGGATAAGAATCAGATCCCCTCCCAAATGGGGTAAACAAACAAAAAGAAAGTTACTGATTATTTATCCTGAGCTTCCATCTTTTCATCTATAAAACTGAGATAAAAATGACAGTATCTACCTCTTAGGATTGTTTTGAATGTTACATGAGTCAATGCATATTCTTAGATCAGTGGCTGGATGTATAATAAGCTCTCAATAAATTTTAGCGATTACTTTTAGCAGAGCCTCTTTAAGACTGGAGCGGCCTTAGGGCAGTACTGGCCAATGAGCTGGAGTAGCAGGATGGAACTGGTCATTACTATGGGCTGTTTCTGAGGAATTCAACTCAGCCCTTAGTGACAGCATCGATTCAGTTTCACATGCTGAGGGTCTCCAGCTCTGCAACCCTCCACAGAAAGAAGTAGAGTAGGGTCATGGCTGAGCAGGACAGGGATGCATGGTGCCAGGAGCCATCTTCCAGCTCCAGCTCCTCTGCCTTACCAGAGGCTTTCTGACGCGTGCAAGAGGAAGGACGGGCTGGACAAGCAGCAGAGAGGACTCAGCTTTTACAAGGAACGTTCTCCTGCCAACCCGGAGTTAGACAACAGTTTGAGTAAACAAATGCAAAATGTTCCTTAGGGGCAGCCAGTAAGGTCAGAGAGTTCATACAGAAACAACGGCCCCAGTCATTCATAGGACAGAGAGCTTAGCTCAGGGGTTCTTAACCTCTGGGGTAATCTTTGAGAATCTGATGAAAGCTGGGGTTCCTCTTATCAAAAATGGGTGCTTAGAAAACGTTCGATGGCTCATGGCCTTAGGTGAAGACCCCAGGTTTCGAGAGTGGCACTTCCCTAAGTTCACAGTTGGCCCAGCCCAGAACAAGCCAATCGTGGAAATACAGGGAGTGGAGGGAAGCGAGCGGGCACCTCCTTTATTTTGTCAAGGGGCGGATTATTAGCCTACATAAAAACAATGGAAGAGCTGCCCCTGAGCGCTGCAAGAAACAGCGAGGGAGAAAGCCAAGGTCCCAGAGCAGATGCAGTGACTTGGAGCAGGTCCCTCGCGGAGGTCAGCGCCTGCGCTCCAATCCAGACCAGGCGCCCGCCCCTCCCTCCCAGGGCTCGGTACCTGAAAGACCCGCGGCGCCGGCGTCCGCATCCTCCGAAGCCTCCAGCTCCAGCACCGCGGACCTGGGCGGAGAGGGCGGCGGGGACGAGGCCGGGGCGCCCTGGGGCGCGGGACACGGGGAGCCCCCGCCGCCCGACGACGAGTCGTCCGAGGAGCTGGCTGGGCCCCAGTCATCCCAAAACCAGGGGTTGTGCGCCTGCTCCAGCAGCCGGCGGCTCAGGCGGTAGTGCAGCAGCTCGCGGTAGCAGGGCCCGTACATGTCCCACCTGGGGTCCTTGTAGCGCTTCATGTACTCGCTCTTCACCTTGCTCCCAGGGGACATGGTCCCGGCCCGGGCCGTTCTGCCCGCCCACCTAGCGTCCACGCGCGCTCTGCTAGCCCTCGCCCCGCTGTGCGGCAGCTCGAGCCGCGGCCGCCGCCGCCGCCACCTAAGGGATCGGGACACGAAACAGAGGACCAGCAACGCAACCCCACCCCTACCCCCAGCCCCGGCTGT